TTGAATTGTTGGAAAGGGTACAGAGAAGGACTACTAGAATGGTGCTTTGGGTGGAGGGGTTGTCATACGAGGAAAGGTTGAAATATCCCAAATTGTTTTCTCTTGATAAAAGAAGAATTAGGGGGGATCTGATTGAGGTGTTTAAGATTGTAAAAGGAATTGATAGTGTTGATGCATCATCCTTTCATAGTTAACAGTGAGAATAGTAGGACTAGGGGACACAAATGTAAATTTTGGCAGGGTAGGAATCATTTTCAGCTAAGACGGTATTATTTTTTTAACAGGGTGGTTGGCCTTTGGAATGGGTTACCTTTGGATGTTGTGGAGGCAGTAAATTTAAGTGAGTTTAAGAGAAAGCGTGATAACTATATGAATGATAAGGGCTCGCTTTAAGATTTTTTAAATTTTATTTATTAATTGTTTTTGGATTAGTTTAGCAGATTGAACAGCCAAGATGGACCAATAGGTCCCCTGTTGTCCCAAAACGTTTTGTCTCTGCACAAAAAGAGGGGTTGAGCAACATACTGCCATTGCATATCTTGTGGATCTGTATGAACACATTGCTACTTTCATGGAAGCCATTTTTAACCCAAATATTTATGGAGAATAATCATATCAACTTAAAATCGAGGACTGGAAGTAGGACAAGGACGCCAAGTCTCTACTACGTCATGACCATTTTCCAAACGAGCATTTCAGTTGTCATCTTCATAAATAGTGTGGAACTTATTCGTTCATTGGTTTCAAAATTACAGAAGCATGCTTCAGATATATTTGGTGTATACAACCACATTGATAGTTGTGTGAAAGAGCTGAAGAATATTTGAACCAAAATAGATGATGAATTTAAAGTCTGGTTTCATTCTGCCAACAAATTGGCCAAGCACTTAAGAATCTCACCCGAAAAATTAAAGACAATTGCTGAAAAATTACAAATGCATCAAATGCCTCAGATTCAGAAGAATATTTCAAATACAGTATTGCAATTCCATTGTTGGATCACTTAAACATGGAAATGAAATCTAGATTTCAAGATAGCCCTTACATAAAATTATTCAGCATTTGCCAAATTAACGTTGTCAATTAACTCGACAATGAAGCCATTTGCATGAATGTTGCTTCTTGGCAGGCGACCTCCCTTGTCCACCGACACTCCAGATGGAGCTTAATAGATGGAAAAGGTGTGTTCGTTTGAAAAAACCTGACATTTTCATAATTGCATTGGATTATGTTGATAAATATGCTTATCCGATCATGGAGCCTTATTTATGATGGTAGCTACTATTCCAGTCTCGTCTGATGAGGCCAAGCGTTCCTTTTCAACGTTTCATCAGGTAAAATCGTACCTGTGCATTACAATGACCAAAGAGCAACTGAAACTTTGTCTAATGAGCATTCACAGTTACATACACATTGACATATCAGCAGTTATTGAACAGTTTACTCAAAATAGGTCTTGACGTGCTCTCCAAAGTATATCCTGTAAATAAATGCACGCTATTATAATACCTGCCCTCAAGTATTTGTGTTCTCATATGTTGACGACATCCATAATTGTTTTCTACATTGTAACATTTTGCTTAATAGGTATACTAGTTTACACAATTTTATCAATAAGCTGTAAACTTGTTTTAGTAGCATATAGTTCCATTATTTAAAAGAAATCAGATTTCCATTCCAATTTCTCAATTTGATTTGTGAATGTCTGGGATTCAGCTAACCTATTTTCAAATTTATACCAAAAATTGGTTAGGTACTTACGTTTAATAGAAACAGTATAAGCATATCAAATGCATCAAAGGAATATAGCTTAGCGAACCTATATATTAGAGTACTTTCAGAAAAAATAACGATAACATATGTGAAAATTATATACTTTGCATAGAAAATAGTGGAAAGGGAGTGCCATAAAATAGTTGCACCTCTCATCATGAAAATTGCTGAGTGCACCCCAGAGAGCGATACTTTTTGATCCAGAAAATAGAAAGTTCTGCCCATGTAGCATCCATTTGTTATTTAATATCACCATCGACTACTTTAATTCCCATCCAGCTCTCTGATAATGTTAAGTATCTAGGTGTTGTATTCAATAAATATAATACAAGGTCAAACAAAAAAACCTTTATGTGTATAAAAGAAAGGGTGGATTTAAACCTCTGTCCCTGTAAGGAATCACAAGACATTAAGACGTAGAGTGATTTTGCGATTGACAGCTATTGTAAGCTGTAGATGACAAATGCCATTGTGGAAGATGGACGTATGAAGTTGGCATAGAAGATTTTTTCCAAAGATTTAATGAAATAGGATCCACTTGAGATAGATAACATAGTAATGGAAACCACAATTAATGTCTTTCCAAAATTTGAAGGTGGCTATAAAAGATAGAATAATTAGAAATCCAGGCAGTATGACCATATATTCTATCTTTTATAGCCGTCTTCAAATTTTGGAAAGACATTAACTGTGGTTTCCACTACTATGTTATCTATCTCAAGTGGATCCTATTCCATTAAATCTTTGGAAAAATCTTCTATGCCAACTTCAAACGTCCATCTTCCACAACGACATTTGTCATCCACAGCTTCATGGTTGACGTTTATGTGGTCTTTTGTTAGCATATTTTCTCGCATAGCTAAAATGTCACATTCTTGCAGACATTCATCCCTGGTCACATATAAATTCTATTGGTCTATATCCACGAGTTGGTGTCTTTAATTATTATTTTTTAACTTTATCCAACTCCTCAATAGATTGCCTCATTTTTTCTGTAGTTGATGATGGCTTGTGTGCTTCTATTGCAGGCTATAGAGCTGCTCAATCTGTCACCTTTATATCCCATACAAGTCTTCTTCCTCTCTCATTCCCACTCATTCAATATTTTTTTCAATCTTTTCATTTACTTTGTCCATAAATACCTAGGATATATCCACAGTAGAACATAATTATTGTCTTAATATGCCTTGCTTCTCCTCCTTTTGAACCTTTAGTGACTAGTTTGCTGTACCATCTTTCCTTTAAGACATACTTTCTTTTGTTACTTGCTTTAGGTAGGAGACTTTTCTTTCCACTGATGGTTCTTGTACTATTTTTCTCTTTAGAAAGACTCTGTACTTGTATCCTGATAGGGCTTTCCTAATAATTATTTGGACTGCAAGTGAGAGTAACTGATGTTTTTTGTCCAATTGTGTTACCTACCCTGACTTACCCAAATTATTGTTGAGAAGAACATTTTATATATCCTGTTAAGGCTGTTGATTGCTATCTTACAAGAACAGAATCTTTCTGAGAGAATCAACATTGGTTGTTTATACCTTATAAAATATCTCACCCCACAGATCTTTCACCATCCACTGGCTTGTGCAGTTGATCTGTATTGTCTATTAAGAGGTACATGAATACCTGTTGAGTGAATTTCATATTACACCTCATCAAATTTGCCATTTGGCAATGTATTCTTTAGAGGACATCTTATAGGTCAGCATGTGTACAAGTCCAAATAATTTTCTTCAATTCAATTCCATCATATTGCTGTCACTTCAGCTTCAGGATTCCATTTACCACGTGTGGTTATTCTCCAAACCAAATGGAATCCATAGCTGGTGTTTTATTCTCTATTTAACATTATTTGGGTTACCATATTATTTTCTACACTGCCCAGCATTGTCTGTTACCTACTCCAAGGGTGTCTGGGATTGAAAATATTTCAATAAAAAACAAGTCTCTTCCTTTATTAGAAGATTCTGTATTTACATATATTTGACTAGTCAGGACTCTTGCACATTCATTGACGTCTGTGTGTGTCCTAGACACAATTCCACCCTCTGTGTTGGGACTCAGTAAGAAGGTGTTGCCCTCTGATAGCTGATAATGCCTCAGTGGGTACCTTTCCCAGCTTTGCATGCACATTCTTATGTCGCATTAGAGATATCTGAGATAGGATATCCATTCTAACTAGATGTCTCAGCTCAGGATGGATATCAGCTAGGTTTTTATTTTTGTTTTTCTATTTTATTTTTGATGTTGCCATTGCATTTTCCTCAAGTTGTTGAGCTCCAAGCTTAATGACCATCCTCTAATTTGGCCAGTTTCATGACTCACTGGTCTTTTAAGATGTAGATAAAGAGGTGCTACAGCCCCTGTAGTATGTCCACTTATATTATTTCATGGTGCTGCTCCCCCAAGAACCTTTCACTACAGGAGCAGGACATAGTTTCCTCCTACTTGTTTATCTCACCACCTGTGTTTCCATCATTGTCTCTACAGGTACAATAAAACACTACCACCATAACCAACCTTTTTATTTTTGTAGAGACTGAAGGGTGTTTAGGGTGAAGATGTACCCTGCTTTATATACGACTGGTCCACATCACAGTTTCCCTCAAATGTAGCTATTCAGTTCTGGATCTGCATTCTACTCTGTCTCTGTTTAACTACAACTTTATAGCCTATATTATTATCTTCTTGTCCTGTAAGTTATAAATTTATAACTACTTCTGTATCATTTTCACTCTCACTGTTTCCCACACCTTTTCAATGTAGGTATGCTGGCCTATAGTATTTCAGTATTTTACATTTTTAGAATTAAAATGAATTTCAAACAGGTACTTACCTCTGAAATACTCTCCCACCCAACTCCCCACAACCTGGCTATAAGTAATTTTCATCATGACTGTAACTTTAAAATTTTTTTAATTATGACAGGAAAGCAGAGCTTATGAAAGATTTCCAGATGCATGCACAATAAGTTACGTGGAGGATGGGAAAGTGGAGAATTATTTGTAAGTTATGCATGTTCTGCAATGCATAAAGGACATTCACAGTTTTGAGTAACATCTTTGTTGACAGCATAAGATCATAATCAACAAAGAAAGGCTTTCACTATTTGAGGTAAATACCTGTTTGAAACTCATTTTAATTCTAAAAATGTAAAAGTTTACAGGTTTTTAAAATAGTGCATGATACGATAACACATACATATATATACTAGATACAAATGATAATAACTTTTCATAATTTATTATTCAAGCAACAAAAACTATACATTCTACAGAGCTTCTTGGCACAGGATTATGGCCTCACCATTTAGTAGCTTTAAATCAATGATAAAAATGAATGAATGTTTTAGACGATTCCCAATGTACCCATGAAAACAATTAGAACAAAAATGCTGTTAAAGTCATACCATAATATAAAATAAAATGGTAGTAATTATTATATTATTAGTATTAATTAGCCAGTCAAGCAATAACTACCCAGTGGAAGCACACTGATTGAGAAAGATCGACTACACAGACAAGATAAAACTTTAAAAAGCAACAACAATTTTCATAAATTATTTCTCTATTGAAAAGGTTGTATGTCAATCTTTTGATAACATTTTCAGAAATTCATTTCACTAATTTATTGAAACAACTCATTATCACAAAATACATCTATCTATAACACGTTATCTTAATACTATCCTTTGAGACATATCTATAAAAAGTACATTGGAACAAAAACTGGTTACATGTTGGTGACTGATTCTAAGCTTGTTGCAACTTCACCAGATTACTTCAGTGTATTTTGTGTTAAACCAAAATATAACCCACTCACACTTGGAGATTCTCTTCTCATAGTCTGTTAATAGTGAAAAACTAGTCTTTCATAATAACATGTTGGTAGTGGCAAAATGTTCATAGTTATCACATCATGAGATAAATTAGTTGCATTACAAATTAAAAAAACAACATTAATATTAAACCCAGTACACTAAATACTTTGTAAAGTTTCATGATATTTTTAAAAAATTACACCAGTTGCTTACTCTAAGTTGCTTCAAATCAAAAAATAACTTTAGTAGATGTCTTTAATCGCGGAGAAGCAAATACAGACGTACACCCATAGAGTACTTGGTTATTCCCACAGTAACATTGTGAACAAATTAATATTATTAATCCTGATCACACAGATAATCAAATAGATCAGAATAAACTAGGAGTTATTACTTTTCCAAAAGCTTTTATTAACATATTTTAATTTTTCATAATTTAATTTTGCGTACACTGTGGTAAGAACCTTGCCTTAATTACATGGTTTTGACAACTTGTAATGCTCTAGAGTCTAGACAAACAAAAACAAGTTTACTAAAGGTTGAATCACAATTTTATATCAGTTTAGAGAACCTCTTGAAACAGTTTATTATAATCTAATTAATTTATATAATCATTTTTTTAAACATTTTAATTAGTTTTTATATAGATATTGAGGCACTTTGTAATTACTTATTATATGTGAATCTGTTTGGTTTAACCCTTTCATGAGTAACAAGTAGAAAAATATTTTCTATTAAAGGTGAAAAATACCTCATAAACTTGAAGTGTTCCCTTTTCTTTTCCAAACTCACTACTGGAGCGATATATTGATATACTGTGATCATACTTTTGTTTTGTTTAATTACTTTTAATGAGGTTCTTGGCCTTTAAGCTGCCCAGTAATATTATTAAGTTATATAGCACATAACAATAAGGTTTTGGAGATGAGAATATTTCAGAATCTCACCAAACATAACATTAGAACTATACTTAAATGTGGCATGAATGTGGTTTCAGAAGAACATGTAGTAACGTTCAGTTAAAGTATTGCAAACACATTTGTATTTAGAGCATTAAAAGAACCTTATTACATTTTCTCAAGAAGCTACTAAACAATTCTAATTAGTACTTTTATTTGCAATATAGAAAACCACATATAATCGTTTTTGCATTCTTCACTTATCCTTTCAAATCTAAGTATGAAAGTTAGTCTCCTTAGGAAATAGCACCATGTCATAATCTTGTACAATACAAGGAGACCAGGTGCCTTTCAACTTAAGCAGTTCTGCAATGATAAGCACATACTAGTTAAAGATATACCATCTAGTAATCCAAAATTGTGTTTTCAACTGTGAAACTTCTAGCATCATTTATTTACTTTGGTAAGACAAGTTATTCTGAAATGGAAATCACCTGGTAATAAAACTAGGATAAAACAAAATTTGATAAAACAGTTACCCACTTGTAAATAGTATCATTAATCTTATATATATTTTGAAAGTGTCACACACTCATTCTAAAATATTTGCCACACTAAAAAACAAATCCTAAACTCTTTTGGGAAGCAGGTCTTCTTCCTCCAGAGGAAAACTGATTTCCTGAAGATGAAAGTTCTACCTTCTGGAAATGTTTTGATTATCAACTTCCTTGTTTTGTGATTTTTATTATTGTATGTGATTTCTAATATCCCAAGTTTTAAATGAATACAATATTCTTTACAGCCGTTTAGCTGTATTTTGTTACACATGTCTTATATATATGTCAGAAGACACGTAGCAAAATGCATTTCAAACTATTACTATGAGATTAGTTATCCCACATGTAAATATTTATACACTAAATATCCTATAGTTTGTCTACTTCAACATAATATACATTCCATAAAATACCATCTAACCTTCATTCTGTTTTAAATTGTCAATTCTGTTAGTAAATGAGATGCCTCAGTCTAATAATAATCCAAAGAGGAAGAAAACAAAATTATAAAGTGATTGTGAAAAATCCTCTTACAATATTCACATTCCAAGTTGGTTTTCTTTGTGGAGCTTCCAAATTGTTTTCACACATTTATTTTACCATTATTCCTTTCTCTTAGGCAGTCTATGAGGAACAGCTGCTCCATGGCTCTTCTCAAACCATCTGTTACCAGTCAGTCACTTTTTAGCAACTTTACACATGTTCATGAAAGTTACAGCTAGGTTTCATGAGTAATAGGTTACTGCCAAGGTCAGAGTGCTAGAGAAAAATCTGAGTTATACAAAATTAAAACTAAACTCCAAAAGATATCATTTTACTGCAAATAAAACCAGCAACAGCTTATGCCTCATCTTGTTAGGCATATTTCAAGTGACAGTTAGCAAGCAATAAGAACTAATCACTATAAAATGCTTCTATTCACAATGCTGGTTATCTATAGCTATAACAAGTAAAAAAGATGACCATTTATTCTAGCAACAGCACTGACCACAGTTAGTTATGATAGAAGTTCAAGTCAGCTACAACTTATATCCAAGCTAGTTATAGCATGAACGTTGTTCATGATGCAAGTTGGAGTTAGCCAAAACACAAATTTCACCAAGGTTAAGTCTGCACAATATTGGTGAGGTCAGCTTCCATCTCAGATATCTAGATGATATTAGATTTTGTCTGGAGTGACGCTGACATCGTGACTTTTGTCACAAAGTTGACAATGGCTGATGCAGGTTGTTCTGGCTCCAGCTCAGCAAAAACATGACATTGGTTATCAGTCTTACTGGCAGGTTTTTTGGCCACAAACCCAAAACAATGACTGGAAAAAGAAAAATCATCAATTATTAATGTTTCTTGTACTTGAATAACTTTTTTTTTAGGTTCCTTGAGCTTTCATGTGTCTTTCAGATGGAAAAACCTTCTTTAATTTATTAAAATTCAATATTTAATATGTGTAATTAAACAAGTGTTTCAGCAAATTCTCAACATATCCAAATGATACATTTTTTCCTTATCTATAAATTTTAAAATGTTGTGATGATGGCTGAATTGTAATAGAATGCTACTTGTATTACTTTTGTCAGTTTATTACTATTATATTTATGTTGCTCTTTTGTGACTGAAAAAACAAGTTATGTCAAAATATTATTTATTTTTTATTTTAAAATCTACCAACCTAAATACCGTTTTTCATATAAATCAAAGTAGGAAGCAATGAAATTAATACTTATGTATATATACCTACTAAACTAATCTTTCAAATTTATAACTGACTGTGTCCATTTTTCTTTTAAAACAAGCTACTAACTACTGTATGTAAACTTAAACTGTTATGAGTTCAAAACAGACATTTTTTCTGTAATTAAAAACTAATGGCTAAGACTTATTTTTATTTTAAATGGTATAAATGGGTTTACATAAAATAATGAAATATTATTACTAAATTAGTTTAGATGGTTATATTTGATGGAAAAGAAAGAATGCTACAAAAACATTCCTAAACAATTAACAAGTTGAGGTTTGTATCATCTTTACCTGGAACTTATTATACGTCCTTCACTATTTTTTTGTTCCCAGTGACGGTCTTCTGGGTCAACCCCACAGTGACTTATGTTGTTCAATGGGTAATGCCTTCTGAAGAACAACCTATACAAAAGATGTCTTATGAAAACAGTTATAAATATTTAGTACCTTTACAAATACATGAACATTTTTGCATCATGGAGCATGTTAACAAAAAATAATCTACTGAATCTCTGAGGACTGAAGGAACAGATACAGTTTATAAATTAATGCATTTTCTAATGTTAGGACACTCTGTGATTATTAAGTATCCCATTATAAGAAATTATAAGTTTGTGATTTTATAAAGTTCTGACTTCTCTCCTTTGATAAATTTTGATATTTCTGGTGTTTATAGGGTAATTATTTACTGGGTGATTTCAAGCAGAAATCCAGTGTTAAAAATGACCTTATGGCTACAAAATTATATGACAATTACAATTATATATTTGCTTAGGTAATTCAAAAACGTATGTTTAAAGACTAATAAATGTTTTAATTTTAACAGGAGAGACAAAGCAAAACTTTAAAGTCTGCAAGTAAAACTTAAGTTTTAATGTATATATATAATTTTACCTTTGTTAGAAATAGCAGGTGATACATTTCTCTAAGCATATTTTATGATGGGTTGGTCCAGATCTAATTGGCTGTTCTTAACAATTAGGGATTTCTAAGCATGTTTATAAGTGTGTATTTATTGTTGCTTGTTGCCATGATTTACCTGGTGAAATGGTACCATATGTTTCTGTTCCAAATTTTAGCCATTGAATTTAAAGTTTTATTTCTCTGGACATTTTTTACTTTTATACTTACACTTTATAGAAAGAAAAAAAATAACTGTAAAAATACAAAAGGGCGTTTGGAAACAAACGTTTTTGGCTTTTTTGAATTAAGTTATGGCAGGGAAAGAAATAATGAAACAAAATGACATTCACTTGAGGGAAAGCTATAGAAAGATTACATTCAGTCATGTAAATTTGTATTTCCTCATGAATTGTTTTTTTATTTAATCCATCCAATATGTTTACTTTCATTGGTCATAATTAAAGAAATATGGATGGACCATGCATTCCCGATCGGGAAAACCAACTAAAGAGATGAAATTCGTCAGGAATATGGGAATGTAATATTTTGATCCCTGTATAGTTATTAATTTTAAAGTATATTTCACTAAGTTCACACTGCCTTATGAATACGAAATAAAAACCTACTTTCTGTTATTATCAGTAAGGGTAATTCCCTGAGCAGAGACTTTGAAATGAACAACTGTTGGTACTGGTTCAGGTTTGGCTGCTAAAGTTTCTCCAATAGCTTTTCGAAGAGCTTGAGGACCTGTAAGAGACTCCATGTCCACTGTGCTGAGGTATAGCACATTACAGGCTGGAAATTAAAAGAAATTTCACTTTGAAGGAAGTGGTGTTTTTGCTGCCAGTAACTATTCTGTCTCCACAATGTTTACATATTGTCCATTTCAAAACCAATTGGAAATTACATTAATACTTTAAAACAATTCAGCTATAGTAAGATTATAAAAACTTTGTGTTACAGCTCATATAGAGATAGGAAGCCCTTGCACATTCTTACAAAACTGTGAAACATAAAAGATAGAATTGTGTTGTTCTGTTGACAAACGATTTTTACAAATCAAGAAATAAAATCTTGTAGGAATGAATACCTTTACTATAACTTAACATCTAGAGAAATCAATATTGAAGTTTTTAAACATAATTTAGTGATAATGTTTTAACAGCGATCTATACAATACACTTGGGATACAAATGCAGTTCTCTTCAAGGAAGAATATCAGACTTTGGCAGATACAATATTTTATATTTTTACCATATTTTATCAAAGAAAATAATTATAAACTGCACACCAAAAGTTTTTTGAAATTACTTATAAATTAAAATTCATAAATTGTTTTTTTTTAATCAGAATCTTAATAAACCCTCTTCAATTAGAATATTTATACAAGGTAGTCATAAGATTGTTCTTATTCTTCTTATAATTTATATAAAATGCATCTTTATAGTACATCATCACTTACCAGCTCCTTGAACTAGTAAAGGTGATACAGCACCTGTCTCTTCAGCTGGAATAACTTCAGTTGACTCTTCATTAGAATCTACTGTAAGAAGTATTTTTATCTTGAATGACAAACAGTTTAGATACAATTTTTAAGGTTTCTTATATGATAGACGTAAATGAATTTAAAGCTCAATAACTTTTTAATCAAAAATTGTATTTTTCTTTTTTTTAAATGAAGTTTTGTTCAAGATATCTAAAGATAAAAAAAAAACTCATGAGCCATAAGACCATAAAACACACCTATCTGTGACTGATCAGGAGATAGATACTGAATTAATGAAATGAAAAACCATTAGCAACAATAACACAGTTGTTGATTCAATTACTGTATTACTGGTCATTTCAATCTTTTTTTTATTTCACCTGGTAATTAATGTTCTTTTTCCTGCAATGAGTACAATTACTAGGATCTTATACATATGATCCTACTTTTAAAGAGGTATTTTTTAACATTAATCTACATAATTTTCTCAGAATTTAAAGCTTTTTAATTATTATCCATTCAAATTTTTAATTTTTCGATAATTTTTATATTTATATAACATGTGTAATTTACACAAAGTCCTTTACACTTTTTGGAAACGATGTCTTAAATTTACCATACTATTAGTAAAGATCTATGATCCTCAGCAATCATACTCTGCTTGCTTCCCCTAATTTTTAACAACAGCCTGCAATGATCTGGCTTCCTCTTGTGCAGCTATCCAAGAACTAGATAACTTAGGACTACAACTTCTAAGTGCACATTAAAGCAGACCAAAGACACAAAAACCCTTTGGTGCTGTATCAGGAGGCTTGATAGGTATGTGGTTGAAAAAGAATGGTGTGATTACAGTTTCTTTATCAGTATTTCTCAAGAAAATAGGTTCTCTTTCACAGTCATAACCTTCTCTTTGTCGATGAGGGTGTTGCCACAAATTGGATTGAAGTGTTGTTTTGGATTTTGTTGCTGGCCAAAATGTTGTAGTGTGTGGGGTTTTCTAATTCCTTGAGGAACATTGAAGGCTACCTGCTTGCAAATGTTGTGTCTTTTCACTCAATATCATTTAAAAATCTCTCTGAGTATTTCTCTTCATAAAGAGCAGCATATATATCATTCCAGCCACTGATTAAGTTTTGGAAGCATTCTACAAGTGTCATCAGAGTTTCACATGTTTATATGGTGGACATATGCCTGCCTATTCTGTTACAGTAGTTCTAGAATCACTCCAACATTTACAGGGAAACAATAGTTAATTTACACGTATTTACATAATCTGTAAGAGACACTATGTACTTAGTAGGCCCTCTTTTAAATATATTTCATTGTATCCTATTTTTACATTACTTTATACACTAACCTGCTGCTGGAAGTAAAAGTTTGCAAGGCAGAGCAAGTGGAGTAAAAGAATGCTGGTATACCAAAGCTGATAAACTTCCTGGAAGTAAAATAATTCCAATTAGTAGTTATTGTTAATAACAGTTAATTCTTTAATGTCACTCATCACAACATATTTGACAAATGACCACATACTACATACAGTTTTTAAGAATGTTAAACTCATTAGTTTACATGGAGGATAAAATCCCTACATTACTGGCTTCCTCACTGCTAAAACAAATAGAACCAGAATTTACAATTGTAAAATGTTACTCTATTGTAAAGCAGTTGTAAAAGTAGTATTCTAAAGTTAACTAAAAGAAGGGTATAGTGATAAAAGTTGAGATTCTATTCAAACACTAAGCTTTCAGTAGTCAAAGTGGGGAAGCCAGTAATGTAGGGATTTTATTCTCCATGTAAAGTCCAGACGGCTTAGTCTACTATGTGATCATTATCCGGATCAAGTTATACGTCCACTTCCATCCCTATCTTGCTTGGTTCCTTTTTCAAGTTCAGTAGCCAATCCCAGATAGCTTATTTGTTTAGTGATAAATTTTTCCTAATACTTGTTCAGGTTATAAAAATAATAATAGTTTTAATTTCTTTTTGTGAAACAGTAAGGTTCTTCAGCAGTCTGTTTTTTCTTCAATTGTCTCAGTACTTCAGAAGAATTTATCTTACTCATACACATTTGTTCAAGAATTGTTTTCTGCCTGCTTTTTTTAGGTATTGTATTGTTAGTTTTTATTTAGTATTCTTATCATAGCTGTAAAGTGAAACATAAAGTGGGTTAAGTTGGCTTTTATTTGAATTAAGTCACATTATTTGGATTCTACGTAAACACTATACACAGTTTTTACCTTGCTATAGAATTCCTTCAGTAAATTGGGTAGAAGTGCCCTTGCTAAATGTACCGTAATATACTAGATGGACTAAAATTATTTCAAAGTACAACAGTTAAAGTTGGCTATCATAATAATATGCCAGCCATCACTCACAAAAGTTATGATTTTTTTGTCTTATGGTGCTGCATAAAGATAAAATAAATGGTTTTGTATTATGGTAACTTCTTGTCATAATTTAGGTTGACTTTACATGTACTTCAATAAAAATTATATCAAATTGTCCTATTACACATTATAAAAGACAGATTTCAGACTAGTCTATGAAAAAAATAACGAAATTTTCACAAAATTTTGGGCATTTCTAATAACTGAATAAAGTTAACTAGATTTATCAAACTAGTGATATTTAAGTCAGTGATGCCCTGCAGACTTAAATATTAAGTCATGCTAGTGTAATAACAGTTACCAAAAACAGGTTCATTTGGACATCCCTTCAGTCGAACACCTTTAGAAGTTGGTTCTATCAGGAAATGTCTCACTAACTCATTTGAATTGTCCCCTGCAAATTGAAAGAGGATATGGTTTGAACTTGTGATTTCTTTGCATTAGCTTTACTAGTACCTACAAGTAATCTTATTTTAGTTGTATTAAATCCTAAATATTATATCTTCAAATTATCTTCATGTTACTTGGAAACTATATATGATCAAAAATGTATATTAATCACAATTAGAGAAACCAGATGAACCAAAGACTTACAAAGGCAGATCTATACTTTTCCATCAAAAGTGTAGTAATATGTCTCTTGTGTTATGATCGATTTATCTAAATATTAAGTATATTACAAAACGCTTTAAATAAACACTACCTGATTTATTCTGGACATTCGGAGGAGGTGTTGCTACCTTTAGGGCAAGCCCAAAGGCACCAGGGAAGGAGTTGCTGTCTCGTACCACAAAAGTACCAGGAGGCTTGTCTTTCAACATGGTGATTGCTGTCAGAACAGAAAATAGTAGAACATGCATATTTATGTTGACTCTTTTGATATATATATTGAAGTAATTTTTTAAAAGAACTCATATGTACAGGTTATTTTTTCTTCCAATATGTATATAAGTTATATGCTTGATAAAGACATTTGCATTCTGTTGAACTTTTTTGTCTCTTACCTTGAACTTAAAAATCTTACATCATACCTCAACCTTTTCAAACTGTTATGACTACACCTTAAATTCTTAACAATTTTTTCAAATTCAATTAGGAAATAATAGACAAATTTAGAGAGTCAGGCACCCATTAGTATTAATTTTCACTAGCTACTGTAAGTTGAATAATAGCTCATTATATAGCATAGCATGACTATATTAGTTTAGTGAGACTGAACTAACTACCTGTTGATAGTTATTTATTGCATTCATTATTATTTATGCCCCTCAGTGCTTCAGCAGTAACTCTGAGGATTCACACTGACAAAAACTGGGTTTTTAACTCAAGATGGGCACAGCATAAATAGTCTATTATGTAGCCTTTTCCTTAACAAAAAACAAACAAACTATTGTATATATTTCATTATCTATTAATGTTTGATTCTATTTATTACTTTTGACTGTTTGCTTGTTAACTTAAGCGAGTGAGAGGTATGACCATGACATCTGATAAGTTGGTTTTACATGCTACTTTTGGGTAGTTTCATAAATTCTCGCTAGTGCAACACTTTGGTTAATTTAATTATGGGATTTTTGTTTTACACTGGAGTGATCAAATTATATTTTATTTTTACTTTAATTTTTCCTTGACACCAACTTTATAGTGAAACAGTAACACATGTTAGAAGCCATTTATTTTTTATGGCAAACTAATTGGTTTTAGTTGATCACTTGTAAGTGTTTGGAAGGGTTACCCAGAGATTTGCTTTTGTTAATTCTCACACTTTTCTAGGGAACCAATGACAGAACACCATTATTCTTTTTGTTAAAGGTGGTTAATATTCTTATCATTATGAGATTTTTTTTATATCTTCTATCAGTTTTTGTTGTTGGATGTGAACAGAAACATTTTTATTCAGATTTTGTGTACTACTAAGAAATGTAGCTCTTAGGAGCAAACAACTGGTTTTAGTTTGTTTTGTAAGTGATGACAGAGTACGTTTTCCTTAAAGTTAATTTTCTTAATATAGCTTGATTATCGTTTTTACAGTTATTTACACCTTTTGCATTGTTAGCTTAGTATATGAGGACTAATGTAAATCTCCTAAGCTGGCCAAACCCCATGAGATGTGATTAGGATTATGGCTAAAACATTGATTAAAGTGAGGATAACCATCTGACAAGTCAATGTATTTTAATCTTTATAGATTTAAGTTTTCTTATGTACTGAATTATTAAATTTGTATTTCTAGTCAGCTTATTACAAAGAATTTACTTCCTTAACTTATAAGTTATTTCTTAGTTCTGATCTACATGGTTAGCTTACTTTTGATGAGGTGTAATTACAAAATATTTCTAGCACTAAGGCCTTCTTTAAGTTCGCATTATTATGTAAAGTTGAATGTCATTTGAGTTTATATGAAGTTTTGTGAAAGTGTCTGATTAGTCCTTGAAGAAATGTAAATTTAATATAGACATATTAGAGTGTATATACTCTTAGGCAATTTAATACTTTTTGAAAAGAATTTTGAATAGAGCATTTCACAAATGATGGTTATCATGTAAGACATTAAATAAATCAAGTGGCATAACATGTTTACCACTTAAAACATGGCTTATCTGAAGTTATTCATTGTATACCATTTTCTACAACAATTATATGTAAAGAATTGTTATCATTTATGTACTTTAAATTACATTAATAAATTATAAGCTTCATCTTATTGTGTTTCTTCTAAATAAAACAACTTCTTGTTAACTACAGTTTTATCAGTCTTAGAGCTTTATCTCCTTATTTTAATTTTTGATTTTAATGGCACTCTTAACAGTTCTGAAACTAATAAAATCTATGACAAGAATACTTTTGGAATACCCTATAAATATAACTCTTTCAGGTCTGAAAATAATGAAAACCATGACAATAACATTTTTGGTAAACATATTTGCAACCATTTAGTAACTTTACCTTCTTCTCTGCTAATGTTTGGCTTGTACCAGAACTTTGATGTGTCCTTTACAAAGACTGGATGATGACTGATTACTTCTGAGGGTTCTAGAAAGAGTAAATAGATAAACTGAAAAATAGAATGTTATACAAGGTGACTTATGGAAACCCATAATTGTAACTGTGTCTGTGAAATGATAATAAATAGATGTCATAAAAATTAATTTTCTGTTGCCAGGTGATTTCCAGAGAATATTAAATAAGTTGTCTTTAGTTGTGGAAAACCTAAGGATAACATAGTCCAAATATTTTAAAAATAATTTAGATAATATTCTGACCCTTAAATAAACAATTTCATAAAAAGTGTCACAGTAAGAACTAAAATGAAATTAATTACAACCATTTGTAGTGCAGTGTGTAGAGCACAAGGAAAATTATACACCAATACTAAAAACTGTAAGACCTTTGGCACATACCTGTTAGAGACAGCATGCTGGAGCGACGAGATTGCCCAAAGTACACTGTTGGTGAGCTCTGTCCATTAGCTGTGTGGGGTACTGTGTCTGGATGTGCATGAGCTAAGCCTTGTCGCAAAGCTTGAACTGTAGCTGGAGAAGGGCAGCACTGATCCTTTCTGAAAAATTTAATATGCATAAAAAATTTGCTAACTGTTATCAAAAACAGATACTGCATGTAACCTACTGTTTTGTATTTATGTAGAAAATGCTAACATGTACCTATATAATTTAAAAAAAAACATCAGCTAAAGTTATTGGTGATTTAACAAAGGTCAAGAAAGAATGCTTCCGATTACATCTTTCATTGTACTGCCTATTCTGCCAATTGTTTTTAAGAAGTGAAAACTGAGACAGTGCATCGTTTACTATGATCCCTAAGTATATACTTTAACTAAATGTTCTGCTACTTGATAGATTAAAAAGTTAGTCATTTATTAATAGTTAAAATATAATCTTCCCTTGATCAGGTGGGCATCAAGAATGGTAATTTTAACTTCGAATAATAAAGAACCCAATTATGACTTTCATATATAAAAGTTAAGTATGTGGGTGAGTACCTCTAAAACTTTTCATCTAAAACCAAATCAAAATGTATCTTCAACATTTACCTATAGATTTCTATGTCAGTGTTTTCAGAAAGCCATACCTTTGGTTAATAGTGGATCCAGAGGACCATCTTCGTAATGGAGTGAGATAAGAATAATCAGAGTAGAGATGACAGTTACCTATCTGTTGGAGAGGGCTTTAGAATGGCAAGCAAGCAAGTATAAATAGCTGTTAGCATAGGCTTTGAAGTGCAAAAGGAGAACTGTTAGGTTGTTAATATACACGTATTACACTACATAAAATTAAACAACCTAAACAGACACCACATCTGGCATTAAATTTGTACTTTAGGAAGAACACTAAAAAATTTTTGTTCCTTACATCACATGAACCTCATAACTTTCAATATTGCTCATATTTCATTTTCAATCACAGACAAAAACATAATTAAAGGACAGAGCAAAAAAATGGTGATCATGCCATCTCATAATAAATATGAAACTTGTATCCCACTACATTTCTAAATTACTGTGTTGCATGTAATAGATAACCACCAAACCAGATGAATTCAGTTGTACACTGATGACATCATACCTATAATTAAGTCCAAATGCATCATAGAACTTTTTCAAATTACCACAAAACATGCATGTATAGGTTATAAGTATAAATGTGAAACTACAGCATTGGTACTCAAAACCAAATCATGTCAACAAATAAAAAGAAAGAAAGAAAAAGAGAAATGATTCGAGCACTATGAGTTCAAATTAAAATCTTAGCCTTACCGAGATAAGGTTGGACTTTTAGGTGGAAGACCTGCACCCTGTGAAGGAGATTCTAGGAAAGTAAGAGAAGAAACATTTGTAATATTAGCATATACATATTTAATAACACACAAATAAATACCCATAAATGTTCTACTTGTGCAATTTTGATTTTCATAGAAACCACAGAAAAAACAGTTAAGCTAATGTAACCTAAAATTCTTATCACACAAAAAAAACATGAGGAAAACCTACCAAATAAAAGGAACTATCAAATAAAATAAAGAAATACTTAGTTAACAAAAAAGCTAACTACATTTTACTCACATAGGTAGATAAAGAATATAATATAAACAGTAGTTAAATCATAGCTTAATTGACATAAAATCAGACTAAGGAAAGCAATGTACTCCATCCATTCAATAAATTGCCACAGTTACCATATGTTTATAACGTACGTCTTCCACAGATTTGTAAAATAAACACTAGTCTCTTATCTTAAACATGCCATCTTAGGAAATGTAACTCAACTACTTTTCCAAGGTCAAGGTACTCTGTTAATCACTAGCCTTGTTCAACTAGTCAAACTGGTTTCAGGTTCTCTTTTTTTTTGTTGTTCTATATTTTTTTAGCTCTAATTCAGTCAATGTGTTGTATTAGAGTATTCATCATTTAAACTTCATGTACACTACCACATTACCAGTACTTCAAGTACATTATTGATACTTCAAGCACACTGGTGATATTTGGTGCAAAATACCAGTACTTACCAGTATATTATACACATTACTGGTACTTCATGTACACTGTTGGTACTTTATACACATTATCAATACTTACTAATACTTAATACACAGTGCTAGTACTTTACACACATTACCATTCTTCATGCATGCTACCAGTACTTCATGCACTTTACCAGTACTTGATTTATACCAATGGTACTTCACCCACACTGCCATTATTTTTATTTTCACCATTGGTACTTCATGCAAACTACCCACTTCTTGTACTTATTACCATTACATTAAATACATTGACAATATTATACACAGTAGTAGTATTTCTCTTAAGGTAACAGTATTTTGTGCACTCTAATAATTTTTTTTGTACACTATTTATACCTGTGTATATTACCAGTACTTCATACACAGTACCTTTTGCTCACTACTGGTACTTTATACATAATAGCAGCATTTTGTGCATATCAATAAGATTTTATGCACACTACCACTATTGTGCACACTAGCAAGACCTTATACTCACTGCTAGTAAATCACGAAAGTTACCAGTACTTCAGGAATGCTGCTGATACTTTGTGCACACTACAGATACACCATGCATGATAGTGGTACTTTATGCACACTAAAAATGTATCATATATGCTACTAGTATTTCATGCTCACTAGGGATACATCATGTATGCTACTGGTACATTATGCATATCGCAGATACATCCTGTATCTACTGGTACTTCATGCATGTTATAGACAGGTCATGTACGCTACTGGTGCTTAATGCACATTACAGACACATCATGTAAGCTACTGGTACATTATGCACACTACAGACACGTTATGTTCACTACTAGTATTTCATGAATGCTATACATACATCATGTATGCTAGTAGTACTTTATCACAAGAGACACATCATGTATGCTACTGGTACTTTATGTATGCTATAGATACATCATGTATGCTACTGGTACTTTATCACAAGAGACACATCATGTATGCTACTGGTACTTTATGTATGCTATAGATACATCATGTATGCTACTGGTACTTTATTACAAGAGACACATCATGTATGCTATAGATACATCATGTATGCTACTGGTACTTTATTACAAGAGACACATCATGTATGCTACTGGTACTTTATGTATGCTATAGATACATCATGTATGCTACTGGTACTTTATGTATGCTATAGATACATCATGTATGCTACTGGTAATTTATGCACACTACAAAGTCATCATGTATGATACTCCTAATTTATGCAATACCAGTACTTTATGAACACTGGTACTTCATGTAATCTATCAAAATATCATTCTTTTATGATATGCCTTTAAAATAATTTTTAATGTCCCCTATAAATATGCATGAGTTGGATGACAAAACTAATTTTAATATTGTTGCGTCAGCGAGGTCACGTGACTAGTGTCACGCCATGTTTCTAGAACTATCTTGTTCCTTCGTGAATGCCCTAGCATTTACTAGATATATGTTTGTCTGGTATATATATATATAAGACGCTCACAACGTGAAAAACAATGTGTGTAGGTAGTGAGTAATTGAACTGCAGTCAGGAAGTATTGTTGAAGTTAACGTTCGTTATA